ATCCCTGTTTTGGGCGTTCTCACTACCAGGAAAAATGGGGCTTAAAGTTCAATAAGACATTGAATTATTTTGCTGCAGTGTCCTGTCCTCGTTCGTAGTCATCGCAACAGACTCTGAACAAGTAGTACTAAATCTTTTTAACAGTCAGAGACTCGGGGAGAAATGGGAGGATTATAGTGATGTCAAGCGATAAGAAATATTAACATTATATATCATTATCCCTTTAAAAGTCTGTTAGACAATCATTTTCTTATTGTTCCAGATCATGCATTATGAACTTTCCCACAATTATAAAACATCTCGAATGCATCACCGACTGTCGGTGCTTCAGATTTGTTCTTTCACAGATTGATTGATTAATTTATTTTTTTGACATTGACGCAACCAACCACGCAGCATCTTCTGGGCAGCGGTTGTCATAGAAATGGACTTTGGTTGTCATGGTTACACGGCGGCACTGACTCTTGTATTTTATATCCTCAGTGGCTGAGGCGTTGCTTTGCACGTGTCCGCCTGGCAGCAGTGAACGCTGTGGGAAACCTTTTTTTCTAACTCTTGTTTTTTCTTTGTCATTGCTGCCATGAAGAGGATCGAGGTAAGTTCCTCACTGTGTTTTTCTACTCTTCATTTTCTCCTCGCTATCACTTTTCTGGTCTTTTTCAGAAATTTTAAAAGAAAATAAATATTATCAGTCTTTTTCAAGTGCTTTCACAGCCCTCTTTTGCACAACTAATCTGACCTGCATTAACTGCGATTTGTTCATATAAAGTTACAGGAGTTGGCTTGTAGGAATCTGCTATTTTTGGATTGTTGGTGGTCCTGCTCTGACCTCTTGCCTCTTACCCTTGACCTCAAACTTGCACAGAATTTCAAGCGAAGCCTAACTTTTAATACACAGCAGGGGTTTCAAATATTTTAATATTGGCTCACTAAAGAGTCTAATTCAGCCTATTGGGTGGTTCTGCAAAGTGTGAAAACTGCAGTAACATCATTAATTACACCACTGCTCCCTGTGTGGGATGCTAGCTTTACTTTTCCATAGTTTGAACTGTGAATAAATACTGCTATTGTTTAGTCACTAAACCTCAAAAAGGGCAGTATACTAAGATATATTTTTAAAATAGCTTTTATTTTAATTGCCATATTTCAGACATTAATCTAGTTTAAACAGGAGTAAAAATGTATAGATTTTGCCCGAGTGGGGTAAATTGTGTCTTTCATTTGGGTATGTGTTTCAGCTTTTTTTAAACTCTTTGCTGTGATCCAGGTGAACATTATTAGATTTCTGTTACTTATTAAAAACAGAAGATTTGGTGGGACATTGAGATTGAGACTGAATTGAGTTTGACAGCCTTGATTTAAAGAAACACAAGAGCTGAATTGTAAATGAGTAGTTTTCTATTGGAGTTTTGTTTGGTTGTTTTCATCGCCCACAGGGTTGTGCAACATGAATTTGTCTGCCAGGGTGAGGCTATCGTTGCAGTGACATCCTGACCTGAACTGTGCTTTGGTCACGCCAACACAACTTTTCGCCTCATCAGCCCCATTTCCCAGATTCCAAAGCAACTTTTGTGCACACTGGAGGAGATCCAGCACACTTCGCATGGGAACAAAAGAGGGACAGAACAGGACCTCAGAGAGATCTAAAAATAGCAGCCAAGCTGAAAGCTGTCAAGAGAAGCCTGAAGAGATGATCCTGAAGGGGAAATCATCCAAATTTAAACCAGGAAACGATTGCTGTTTTGTCAAACGCTTACATTAAAAAATTATTCTGTCACCTAAGTGTGCTCGAGGCAAACGAGGCAAGGTTGAACAATTCTTCATTGTGCTAACTTTTGTATGCACAAAATAATGAAAATGAACAAGTCTAACTGTTGGTTTAGTCCCACATTATGGAAGCATAGTGATGACTATGACTGTTAAAGTAACATCAGTAATATGACCAATGCACTGAATTGATGTCATGCCACTGCGTTCATATATATTCATGGTTTTTATGGCAGTAGTTACTACTGACCGCACATGTTTATTACTCCTGAACTCCAGTGCTTTCATTTGGTGGTGTTCAAGACGTTCATTTGTCCTGGATACTAAACCTGTCGTGAGCCTCTTTAACTTAATTTATAGCTTTCATTCTGTTCTTCTTCTTCACACACTACAATAACTTTTGAATTGTGATGGATCGTGAGCCAGTTCAGCTACTACGTCATTGATATTCCAGTTTATTTTGTGTTTCAGCTCAAAAACAGTAGAGAGGCAGCTTGCTTTTGCTATTAACCACTAATTACTTACTAAAATATACTATAAGAAGTGTAGTGAAGTTCTTAGGTGGAACCAGTTGCTGACACAAGTTAATAATTTAAAAAAATGCTTGAGGAAGATGACTCGTCAATCTGACTACTACTGAGTACGCACCAGGGAGAAGGCTAATAAGACAGCAGTAAATTAAATCAGACAATATTGAAGGCACGATTGGAAACATAAGCAGGAAACTTACCCTGAAAATTAAACAGGAAGTAACTGAAAGTGATAAAGAAGAGCGCACACAGCCAAATACAGGAGACGCAGAGTGCTGTGAAGAGTAAGCAGGGTTACATTTGTGTAACAACCATAGTGCAATGATCCTTATTATGTTCGTCATCATCATTATTGCTGTCAGCATGAAAAGCAGCTCTACGCCAATTCTCTTAACACAGCTGTCTGTTTCAGGCCTCCTGTCAGCAGAGCGCTGCCACAGCCAGAGAAGCTGCAGACCAACAATGTCGGCAAAAAGAAGAGACCCATCGAGGTAAGGACCTAATGTCATGAGTGCTGGTTTCATTTGAACCCTGGCAGGGGTGCTGTGATCGTCACATGGAAGATTTTGAGTGTCAGTCACTTCTTTTCTCGTATCGCAGTTCTTTTCCTGCATGGATTCATTGTGAAAATGAATTTATTAAATAAAAAAATGGGCATTCCAGCCTTCTGGACTTTCATACAATTAATCTTATGTAATGTAACACATGTGTAGGTGTGATGCACTTGGAAAACGCTTTAAAGCAAACAGTACAACTTAATTCAGATATTTTGAGAAAAAAGGCTTTATTGTCACATGATCTCCTGTGACCTTCGTAGTTAACAGTCTGTGTGCCCACAGATTCAGAGAGGAGACAAATGCATGCATTCTAAATATTGAAGGACACATGTCCCCTGCATCCGCTGAAATCTACACTCATGCCTCATATTCTCACCTGAACACATGAATACACAGATGATGTATTTATGTAGACCCAAGAAGGCTTGTCTGTCTTAGATTAGCAGATGATTGAGAATGCTGTTTTCTAATGTGATGATTTTAGCCTAAGACACTGCATGCTCATCCTCAGTCCACATAGCCTCTCTGTGGATGAGGATGATGATGACGCTCTAATCGAATGATGGCGATCTTCAGCGAGCAAGCTGGCCCTGAAGATCTTGGTTGTCATGGCGTTAACCTTTCTGACTTTCAGATCGCCTTTTTTTTCCCCCTGACTCTCCCACAGGACCTGGTGTTAGAGCTGGTGTTTGGTTACCGTGGCAACGACTGCCGCAACAACGTGCACTACCTGAATGAGGGGACTGACATAATCTACCACACGGCCTCCGTCGGTATTGTCCTCAACTTGACGACTTGTAAGTCGGCAGAAGATCGACTAAACCATCAAAGCAACAAAAAAATTCACGTATTTAATGTAATGTGTGTATGTGTGTATTCACACAGCCTGCCAAAGTTTCTATGTGGAACACAGTGACGACATTTTGTGCCTGACCATCAATCAACACCCCAAATTCCCCAACATGGTGGCAACTGGCCAAGTAGGTATGTTTGTGAAAAGTCGCCCTCCTGTGTCAGCAGCTGCTTCTTTCTCTAGTCTCTGTCCTGTGTTGGATTACCATACATCCCCCTCTTATAAGCTTATCAGCACAATCAACCAAATCTCCAGATCACCATTTGTAAAACATGAATACAGATGAGGACAACATTATTAGCGCTGCTATAAAATTTTACATTTTTGTTGAAGTTTTTCCAATGCCACTTGGAAAAGCATAATGCCAAAATATAAAAGAAATCAGTTTAGACTTGAGAAAACATGTCAAGTGAGAAGTGTCATCAAGAAATTCAAAGGAAGCCACGTTGTACGTAACAAGCCTGGCAGAGTAAGGAAGAGACAGATTTCAAAGACTCGTGGGAGATGTGCCTAAAGACCCCAGAACAACTGCCAAGAGTTGACGTGGCCGAGTCATTCTCCAGAAGACAATCACTAGAGCTCTGCAGAGGAATGGACTGCGAGGTTGGAAAGCAAGAAAACTCCACTTCTGCAGAAGAGACACTTTCAAGTCAAACTGAAGTATCCTAAGGACAACCTGCAGAAAGATTATGGATACTGGAAGTGTGTCCTTTGAGCATATGAGATGAAACTAGAGCTCTTTGGACACAGAAGCTGCTTATGTTTGGAGAAAGAAGGGAGAGGCCTACAACACAAAGAATGCCATCCCCACCGAAGCTGTGCGGATGCTTCAGTGTGTCAGGAACTGGGAATTGGGTCAAGGTGGAAGAAAGTCATGACGAAAGAAGGAAAGTAAAGATTTGGGAAGAAAACAGCAAAACCAGCAAAAGCGTATCGGGGTCGTTGCATTGTCTTCCAATACGACAACAACCCAAAACATCCATCACTCCTGATGATGAACTATCTCCGGAAGGACAAGATGTTATTTACTGGCCTGCACGAAGCCCTGACTTGAATCCCACTGAAAATCTGTGGGGTGAACTGGAAACTACTGTTGACGTCAGAAGATCATAAAAGTGAGATAAGCTGATTTCCAGAAGAAGACTGCACTCCGATTTCAGGAGACATGTGAGACTTGATGAAAACTGCAGCAAACGACCGCAGGCAGCAAAATCCAGCAAAAATGATTCACAAATGGATATTAGCATCAGAGGGGTAATAATTCTGACCATTGTAGTTCTTAGCTTTTGTAAAAGTAAGTTTGAAAAAGCTTAAGAAAAAACTAAACACTTAGGGAAATGCTTAAAAAATGACATTTTCAAAGTAAGGCTACTAATTCTGTCCTCATCTGTACCTGTAGGAATTTATTAAAAGTATATTTTTCCTTCACATTTTCTCACATTGTAAAAGAGAAGTGACAAAGTTGTGACAGGACAACTGATCTCATTTTAATTTGCAGATCACTTTTGTTAGCTAGTTTAAAGGCTAATGGTTTTGTTGAAGTTTTGGTTACCACTGCTGCTCAAAAGCCATGTTTTTGTCAATAAAAGTGTTTTTTTATTTTGGTTTACAGGTGATATCGGTGACATGTCAGGTAAGAGTTTAAACATTCAACAACTGTTAAGGATCTGACCACTAAGTGTGTGAAGTCACTGCCATCTAGTGGCAATATTTACCTTCAAAAAGTTACCAAATAAGAATATAAAATTTGTAGAGAGCAGTGCATAAAATAAAAAAGAACTTTGAGGAATAGAAAATCATATCTAAAGGCGTAATTAAGAATTAAGAATAACTGTGATAAAATGTCTGTTTGCTTTCCCTTAGCCACGTCTCCATCTATCCATGTGTGGGATGCCATGACCAAGCAGACGCTGTCGGTGCTACGCTGTTTCCACGCGGGTGGGGTTTGTTCTGTTAGTTTCAGTGCCACAGGAAAACTCCTGCTGTCTGTTGGCCTGGATCCCGAACACACTGTCACCATCTGGAAGTGGCAAGAAGGTAGGAAAACAAAAAAGCACTTCCCTGATTTTGCTCCTGGGATTTTCACTGACAGAACAAACACGCTTGCTTTCAGGTGCCAAAGTGGCCAGCCGGATAGGTCACACCCAGAGGATCTTTGTGGCCGAGTTTCGGCCGGACTCAGACACACACTTTGTGTCTGTGGGCATCAAGCACGTGCGTTTCTGGACATTAGCTGGCCGAGCTTTGCTCAGCAAGAAAGGCGTGCTCAGTACCCTGGAGGACGCTCGGATGCAGACCATGCTTTCTGTAGCATTTGGAGCTGTAAGTCAATCCCGTGATGCCTGTTCTGCCTCCAATTTTAACACGCTGTTTGTTTTTACCTCGTGAATCAAGTCTAATAATATTTACAGCTCAACAGATGCCACACTGTATGCTTGAATGTGCTGTGAACTGTTTTTGTGCTGCTTGCTCTGCTGTCTTAGGCCACTAGATTAGTGCAGATTTGTTTTCTTTTCAGAATAACTTGACATTTACAGGTACCATAAGTGGGGATGTGTGTGTGTGGAAGGAACACATTCTAGTAAGAATAGTGGCCAAAGCTCATACGGGCCCCGTGTTCACTATGTACACCACACTGAGGGACGGCCTCATCGTCACCGGAGGCAAAGAAAGACCGTGAGTTCTTCTCTGTTACATTCATATATTATATTCCATATTAATAAGATGTCAGGGGTAGATGGTGGATCTGGTGTCAGTTTGTTATAGGCATGTATAAACACTGTGCCCAGGCAAAATAGGCAAAATATAGCTTGAGGAAACACCTAGCAGGAAATAATATTAAATCTAATGTTGAAAAATGCATATTAACAGAATTAAATACATGTATTTATTTAAGATATGAATGAAAGAGATTATTATTATTTTCCACAGGTCAAAGGAGGGCGGTGCTCTGAAGCTCTGGGATCAGGAGCTGAAACGCTGCAGAGCCTTTCGGTTAGAAACCGGACAAATCATAGACTGTGTTCGCTCTGTATGCCGGGGAAAGGTAGGTCACAAATCACACGGCGCTTGATTTAAAAAAATTGTCCAATTTTTTTAGAGTACGCTAGACCAGTCTACAAATAATGTTTTTGGTTTGCCACTGGGACCTTTAGGCCAGCTCTTAATCTAGTCTATTACAGGGATTTCAGATATGAGTCTGAGATATTCTGGTGCTCATCAGCTGCTGTGCTTTCAGCTGTTCTCTACAAGCTCAGTATAACTCTCTGCTCTGTGATAGCCAAGAGAATACTGACAAGCTGCACAAATGCTTCCCATGCTGCTGATTCAGATGACTTTAAATCATCATCACGACTCGGTTCACAGCTTTCAAGACCAAAAAAATAAAACCCTCCTTAATTATGCCTTCACTTTTCTCAAGACCAAACTTGTTTCATAAATGCTGAAGTTACCACGGTTTCCGTGGTAATAGTTATCTGATAGATCATAACTAAAAAAAAGATGACAACGGTTTTCAGATTTGGAGTCGGCAGGTGAAATTTTACTAAGTGCAGGTGAAAGAATCCCAGGAGCAAAATGCTGACCAGTGTTATCTCTTTTGATGTGCCAGGGTAAAATCCTGGTGGGGACCAGGAATGCAGAGATCATTGAAGTAGGAGAGAAGAACGCAGCGTGCAACATCCTGGTGAACGGACACATGGACGGACCGATATGGGGTTTGGGCACGCATCCTTCTAGAGACGTGTTTCTGTCAGCCGCAGAGGATGGCACTGTTCGTCTGTGGGACATCCCAGAAAAGGTCAGATCTTACGTTGAACAGAGCAGCCTCAGATTTACATCAGTTTGTCAAGAAGTTAACAGAAACTCTGTGCTGGTTTTTCATCGCTTTGTGGGGGGAACAGAAGATGCTGAATAAGGTGAACCTGGGCCACCCGGCGCACACCATCAGCTACAGTCCTGAGGGAGACATGGTGGCCATCGGCATGAAAAATGGAGAATTCATCATCCTGCTGGTCACCTCACTCAAAATCTGGGGGAAGAAAAGGGACCGGCGTTCACCTATTCAGGATATTAGGTAATGCACACAAAGCACAGTCAAACTTTCCTTCAGTAAAAACTTTTTGGTGTGTCTAAAAGTCTTTTCTTATTTATAAAAGAACATTTTTGTAATGAGGAAGGACGTTAGTGAGGTGGACCGTCTTGCCAGTTTTGTCATTATTTACACCCTTCAGCAGCCACTGCCAAAAAACGATCAGTTTTTAGTTTCAAGCTCCCGACAAAATGTTTGTGTGGATCTCAAAGGATTAGGGCTGAAGTCAGCGAGTGCCAGCTGGATATGGATTAAGAGTAAGACATTTGTCTGGGACACATAATGATTTACACTGTCCAGAGCAAGGTTAACTAAAACTAAACCAAAAACTATAATTAGATGTGAAAAAAGACCTTTTAGTTAACCAAAAACTGAAACCTTGTGAATTAGAAAACTAAAACTAAAATCAAATATAAGCCTTAGTTTTAGTATCTGTCAAATATTTTATTACAACTTGCCTCATGAGTCACTGAAAGACACATTTATCGAGACTCTGGATGTCTACAATCGCCACACTATGTGTCACCTGCTTTGAATAGGTTCTATTTTTATTTTATTTTTTATATTTATTGACATTTAATATTTTTTTGATGTTATTTGTCACTGTGATATGTTGAATGAACCATCTAAACTGAAGTATACTCCAACTGTACTTGGCATACTGTTAAACAAATCTGAGGAGAATTTTGATTTCATCTCCTCCTTCGCAGGTTCAGTCCGAATTCTCGCTACCTGGCTGTGGGCTCCAATGAGTGCGCCGTTGACTTCTACGACCTGACGCTCGGCCCGCAGCTGAACCGAATCAACAGCTGCAGGGACATCCCCAGCTTTGTGATGCAGATGGACTTTTCTGCCGACAGCAACTACGTCCAGGTGTGGAGGGCTCATTAACTTGTTGCAGGAGAGAGTGAGACGCTGGCGAGCTGATACTTCTCTAACCTGCCATGTCTTTAAACAGATATCCACGGGTGCTTATAAACGGCTCGTGTACGAGGTGCCATCTGGGAAGCAGGTCACAGAACAGTCTTATATTGACAGGATCACCTGGGCCACCTGGACAAGGTGAGGGTCACACTAATAAGAGTAACAGAAGGCATCCTTACTTATTTGGAAACTAAGGAAAATGTCACTGTGTGTGTACCCAGTGTCCTTGGGGACGAGGTCGTAGGGATCTGGTCCCGTAACACTGACAAAGCAGACGTCACCTGTGCCTGCGTGTCCCACTCGGGCCTTAACATCGTCACGGGCGATGATTTTGGGATGGTAAAGCTGTTTGACTTTCTCTGTCCAGAGAAATTTGTAAGTATGATTGCATAATTTTATGATTGCGATTGTGTTTGATGTATTAGAGCAGCACCTGTTTTCTACTACCGGCATTTTTCTGGCAATTTTAGTAACCCTTTGGACATTTTTAGGTATTTTTTTGGCGGTCTGTGCTGCTCATCTTAATTCCAGTCTGTGTCTCCGACGCCCCCTAGTGGCAATAACAAACAAAAAAATAGTAATACATGCAAACCTTAGGTCTGAGGGGATCAGTGAGATAAATGGGCTGAAAGAAGTGCACTGGCTCTACTAATTCTTGTCAGAACTTGTCAGAACATTTTTCAACAATAAAAACTTTTTATTTGATGCCACAAATCCATGTAAAAGTGACACTTTGCTAGTAGCCTTCAGAGCTGCCTCAGTTCCTGTGGAGGTCACTTGAGTACAGTGAACTAATTGTAATGTTAAGCAAACCAGATATGATATGAGCTCTGTGGCATCGTGTGTTATCCTGCTGGAAGCAGCCATCAGAAGATAATGACACTGTGGTCATAAAGGGTTGGACGTGGTCAGCAGCAATACTGAGGCAGGCTGTGAAGGTTAAAAGATGCCCATTTGGTGCTAAGCAGCCCAAAACGTGCCAAGAAAATATCCCCCACACCATTACAGCAGCAGCAGCCTGTTGATACAGGCAGGGTGGATCCATGCTTTTATGTTGTCTATACTAAATTCTGACCCTACCATCTGACTGTTGGAGCAGAAATGAGGACTCATCAGACCAGGCAACAGTTTTACAATCTCCTATTGTCCTATTTTGGCGATAGAAGCTACCACCAAGTTTGTTTTTCTGTTGATGTGCTGGTTCAGTGTGAAGGTTCAGCGTGTTTTCAGAGATGCTTTTATGCATGTTAGTGAGTTACTGTTAGCTTTCAATCAGTTTGAAGCAGTCTGGCCATTCTCCTCTCACATCAACAAGACATTTCCACCCAGAGAACTGGATATTTTCTTCTTTTCTGACCATTCTGTAATCCCTAGAGATGGATCTGTGAAAACATCCCAGAGAACTAGACATATATATATATATATACTCCTGTCAACATGTGATTTTATGACATATTTGTAATATGAAGCAGCTGAACAGGTATACCTAATGAAGTGGCCATAGAATTTCTTTTTATAATCATTTGTCAGTTAACTGACAAATTGATCACCTAGAAAAATTAACTTTATATAATTGTTATATCTATAATATAATTTATTCAAGCCTAATAGACAATTTTGTTTATCAAGTGAGCAGAAATAACAGAAAAATGTCGATTTCGGTAAAACACAATGGCACACCCATTGCTTTGCTATAAGCTTACACATGTGATCCACGTGTAGATAATATATAAATGTGTTACTGCACTTTAAAAACTATCAGTAGCAGTTTATATAAATACTTTCTGTGTTCTCTTTCAGGCCAAACACAAACGATTCCTGGGCCATTCTGCTCATCTGACAAACGTACGGTTCACAAACGGAGATCGCTTCGTCGTCAGCGCCGGCGGGGACGACAGAAGGTATGACCAATCTAAATCCACCATCGTTTACAAGTGTTTCAGTCTCAGTGTTAAGGGATGCAAGCCTTTTCTTTTATGTCCCTTCCAGCCTCTTTGTGTGGAGGTGTGTCCATGCCCCGCATTGATCATCACACTGGGATCATCCAACATCAGAAAGTCAGGGGTCAGAAAAAAACAGAAAAGAAAACTAAAGGATACATTTAAACAACGAGGAGGAGGAGGAGGAGGAGGAGGAGGAGCAGGAGGAAGGACCTGGCAGCTTGTAAGTGAGATAAACCGGTGATTCGACTTACTGCCTCAAAACTAGGTGCATGCATATGTGCAAGGCTCATCTTCATCACAGTCCTTGATTGTGAAAACAGGCAGAGGGCATACAGCCCTGCTCTCCTAACATCACATCGTCACTGAGGAAGAAAAGAATAAAACACCTAATATGTGCATATCATTTCAGTGATGCATTATTTCTTTTTTTGAAAAACAAGCTTATCTGTGTACGTGTCCCAAACAGCAGTTTTGCCATGTGGCAGGCCTCTGAAATTGTGTTACTGACAATGCCATTTTTCAAAAAAAGGAAACAAACATGTAGCAAACTGAATTAGCCTTAATCTGAGCGTTTAGAAGGGTTTGGATTCTTTTTGTATTGTTTCATTTTATTTATTTATTACTTTTTTTATTTATTTTTTTCATCCGTTTATTCTGTTTTGAACTGGTAATTCCAAATCCTGTGGCCTTCCTCCTGAATGTAACATCCACTGTTATGTTCTGGATGTCAGCATGCCAAAGCATACTATGCACTGTACACCTGACCTGCTCACTGTGTCGCCCTGGTGGTTCATTTACGACGTGATAACGTGGTCGTGCTGTCGACTGGTTGACCTCAACCCCCGTCCAACCTACCCCACCCGCCCCTCCGCAGTGTTCCCCTCATGTCATATTAACGTACGTGTTTGAGGATTCGTTTGTGATTTATTAAAGGGTGTGTGCATGGCTTACGGGAAGACAATCTGTCTGAACCAAATTCCTCAGAAAACAAAAAGAACAGCTGTAAATTGAGATCTCGTTGCACTCGTTGCAGTTCCAGTGGTCACTTTTTAGTGTGCTGCTACGATATGTTGTTGTTGCATTTTCATGATTATGAGCGGTGTGATGTTTTTTCAACAGTGCGTTGATGTTTCGTGAAATAAGATATTGCTTAAATGGAATGTTTATCAGAGAATATTAAAAAAAGTGCAAAAGATTTCCTCCTTGCATTAAGACTAACTACTAAAAAAAAGTTGCTGCATATTTTGATTTACATTTCACCAGTGTATATACCATTTGTAGATATTCTTTTTGTATATTTTTGTGAGATGTTTCTTAAATTCCACTTTATTAAAAAAATAATTAAAATAAAACACAACCATGATCTTTGAAACTTGGACTCATCCGTGTTTATTGAGACTGACGATGCTTGAGAATTGCTCAAATATTCCCTAATGCAGTTATTTTTAGAAAAATGATATTGCTACAGTTGTTTTGCAGTTGGGTGAATTCTGACAGCTCAGGTTTTCCTTTCCAAGATGAAGTATCCTAGATCACCTCCCGAGTGCCGGTGATCCAGCTCCACGTGTTTCCATCAAAAAAAATTTGTGACAGCAGAAAATTTGAACCACAATGTTCATCGATTTAAGAAGGGCGACCACAAGAAACTCGGCTTGCAGATTCTGCCCCATGATCTTCTCCCCGGGTACACGTTTGCTCAGATTTATTCGGGACCACAGCTTTTGCCACATTATGAGTTATAAAGTTTAGTTTTGTTGCACAGTAGGTTGTTTTTTTAAAAGTAACCAAAGCGAGAACTGGCTCCACACCAGCATCATGTAGGAACTTAAAATGTGCTTGGCACTTTGTGAGAACCAGGTTTGAGAATTAGTGCGTCTTGTTGACTTTGCACTGTGAAACTCTACTGAACTTTCTTGGTCTCAAACCTGTCCATGCGAAGGTTGATTCCCAAAAGACAAATAGGAAAAACTGACTGCACTGACACCATGGCAGTAAAAAAAAGTTAGATTAGCAGGAAGCTTAAAGATTCCTTTATTTGTGTTGTGATTGTACTATATACAAGGGTATCTCTCAGTTGTCCTTCATTCTACTGCCTGTGACCTGGAAATCAATTTAGCTTGCCATGTTAAATGAGATCTCAGTTCATAATATGGAACTGCAGAAGAGGAGACAGAAGGGGACTTTAACCTCCTATGACCTGGCGTCCACATATGTGGACATCACATTTTGGGACGTCTAGACCAAAATACTTAATTATTTTCTACAAGGGCCTGATATCCACTTACGAGGACATTATACTGCCACTGTTCTATCAAAATTTGAAACAAATGTCCTCATATGTGGATCTCATTTTTCTCAAAAACAAAAATTAGGTTGAAAAAAAATATCTGGTAATTCTTTGTTTCTACATTCTTTAGGTCCCAATCAACCCAAATAGCAAAGAAAAATTAAAAATGCATGCCATGAAAGAGTTCGGGTCTTAGGAGGTTAAAGGCGGATAACCAGGTGAATCCTAACTGGAATCTACAAATTTACAAAAGAAAGAATATAGGGGACCATCGTCTTTGTACTTAAGCCTACTTTGGTTGATACCTACGAGCGGCCCAACATAACAGATTTCCTGTCTCCTCACTGAGACACTTAAAACACCTCCGCTAAGCAAAGGAGGCAATTAATGGAGCTGCTGTATTTCACGAGATTGTGAAAGTAACAAATTAAAAACAACAGAACACGTGAAAATCTTAAATGTGCTTAATTTATTACATATAAAACAAATATACTTTAGAACTTTGTATATATTTATCGCCTATTTACATATTTTACAAGAACTGAATACTCACATACTTCATGTAAACCTTTTTTAAAGTACTGCTAAATATTGACTCAGTGAGCATCATCATCATCTATCTTGTACACAATTTGAAATAGAATACTGTTTACATCTGTTGTTCATTCAGTTCAAGTCATTTTCAAAGCAAAAAAGACAAATTTTAATTTACTAGTTTTCATGTCTAGCTGTTAAAAGTGAAATGAATTATGAGCGGGTCCAATGTGATAAAATGATCTGACTTCTCTGTATTAGGTACAGTTATATATATATATTAGTTATCTTATGCACTCAAATGAGAAATATCTCTTCATATTTTATCGTTTCGCACATATGCACCCAATAAACTGTGAAATCAGAGTGCTGCATATTACTACCGCAGGTGTCGGGGAATGAGTTAGGCAGGATTATAGTTTAACAGAAAAGGAACTGCCACAGGAGCAGCCGTGATCAGCTTGTGGGTTCTTGAGCACTTGGAAGGTGGAGCGAATAAGCTCCTGACTGAAGTCCACCGTGGATCCTTTCACAAATTCCAGGCTCTCCTGGTCCACAATAATGCCAACTCCTCCTTTCTCAAACACTCTGAAAGCACAGCAGTGGCACAGATGATAAAAAGGCCATAAGGAAACAACAACAAGGAACATGTATCGCTATATTATGCAATAAGGAAATCTTGATTCGGGGTTGTTTACCTGTCGTCCTCGTTCTTCTTTCTGTCAACCGAAAACTTGTACTGAAACCCGGAGCAGCCTCCTCCCTCCACATGTATTCTCAGGTACTCGCCCTTTTCCGTGATCTCCCCTAGTCTCTGTATTAAATAAGCATATTAGATATAACACATGAGGTACACATACTCATTTATCAAAACAGAGAGTGAATGATAACCAATTTTAGCCAGCTGGAGTCTTCCTGTGTGGAGCATTTTCCCACTAAACAATTTGGAAATAGAATATTTAGCAGAAAGATCAAAATGATAAAAACACTGATATCTATTTCTGAATTAAAAGGCATCATAAGGAACATGGTGAAAAAGATGTGGTTGTCTTTCCTGAGATGCTGCCACTGCTTTTTGTTCTGGGTATTTGTGTATTTTAAATTACATTTGCTGTTGCTGCATTTCTGATATGTTAGGTGTTTGTATGGCTGTTAGCTCATAAAGAGGATTAGATCTAAAAGCACATGGGACTTCCTGGTAGAATAAAAGTTTGAAGGAAGGAAAACATTTTTTTTTAATTAAGCCTCTCAACGTGTAAAAAGTGTCTGCAGTTTTCTGATGCTGGTGTTCGAAAGTTTGAGATCAACTGTATCTCGTTGTCCATGGGCTAATTATTGTATACAGTATATTAGTGTGTAGCTCTGTGTTCAAACATATGTTCTCTGATTGGTACAGACCTGGAGTTTTTCAGGGTGGACCTACAACCTTAGCATACTTTGAAAACTCAAGTTTAAATGCATTTTGATCTGAATAACTTTTCACCTTGATAAACTCTATTGGTAAACCCCAGAATCAGAATCAATCAGAATCAGAATACTTTATTAATCCCGAAGAAAACTTGATTTCTTGATGATTTTTTTAAAAAAAATTGTGTGTGTTTTAGTATTTACAAAAATTAAACAGTAGAAAAACTGACAGTGTCATGGCGTCCCCAAATAACAGGGTTAAATAAGCTCAGTCTAATTGGTCTCTAATGGAGTCAAACTCTTAGCCTGAATTATGGTGACTTGGTGTTTCAGCTTTTGAGGTTTTAGCAGAAAACAGCAGTTTAAGAGTGTGTCCTAACCTTCACGCATGACTCAGTGAGATGTACTTTATCTTCAGATGAACCTGACACCCCTGGCTTCTCCTGGGTGGAGGCGCTGCTGTAGCACCGAAGCCCGGCTACATAAAGCGACTGGGAGTTGTGAGGAAGACGGTGTAATTGCTCAGTCACGCTGAGGATGTTTGGGAGAGTGGATGCCCTGCAAAACAACAGATCACATGACAGCACTTGCAGCGTTGCTAACAAGCCTTCTAGCTCGTTAGCATAACGTTACTTAATGGTATCATTGAAGGCTAACCTGCTAGCTAGCTAGCAGTAGCTACATTTTTACACCATCAGGACTTTATTAGTTATTACTTTTTTTAGAGAGACGTTTAATATGTCCTGCAATTTGTAAGAAATTAACTTTACCTAGCGAGGGTCAATAATCTTGACTTCGACGCAGATATCATTGCTCGTCTCACGAAGGACATCTTCCATAACAGATGTTGCTAAACCCCGCCCCTACATCGACGTATATTAGCGTGCCCATGTTAGCCATTTGATTCGTTGTACTAGCTGCCAATCATGAATCATTGGGTATTCGATACCTTAGTCATGGCTTGCAGGCATATCTCTTCTCAGCTCTTTGCCGTCCTCGACAGTTTACTTATAGGTGGAGCTTAGAGAGAATTTGTGCGTTTCACGTCTGATGTTTTGATCCTCCAATTACAAGGCAGAAGGCGGGGTATTAAGAAGGGGTTAGGTTCCTGACAGGCTCACCGTCGGGTGGAGAACACGCTAGGAACCTTTTAAATACGCGCCGCCTCTCGCAGCTGACAGTGCAGGAAGAAAGGTGGTAGCTCTTACGACGTCGTCAGCTAAAGGTATACTTTATAGAGTTTATATCGCGGTGTTCAACAAAAATTATAAGTTTTATTTTGCAATTTTACCAATTTTCCGTCAAGTTTAAGTAAATGTCGTTGTTATTAAACTTTGTACTCAGTGCTGTACTAGGGACGTCCGCGGGACGAACAAACAAGTCATCTGACTCAAACACTGACTGCGGGGACTGAGTTTGTTTTCCTGTGGAGTAAAGATTTTTTTGTTCCTTAGGCTCACACAGAGAAGGGGAAAACATGGACGCCCGAACCGGTTTCATTGTGTTGTGCTTGATTGGATTCAGCTGCGCGGAAACAGTGAAATTTTTAGATTGCGGTAAGTTAAGAGTCACGCTGATGGTGATGATTCACTTCTCCATTTAAATGCTAACTAAGAGACTAAACCGTGTGATCCGTCGAAACTGTTGAATGTGCGATTAATACACTTGTTTGTTATTAAACTTATTGAATCTCTTTAATCGGTTTCGTAGACTAGTTTTCTGTCACTTATAGTCTTGGATATTTTAATTATTTTTGATTTTCGTCCTTCAGTTCAGATTCCAGGATGGGTCTGCATGATTCAGCTTAAGTCATGTGTTTTGAGTGGTATTTGTCAGAACTAGACTCAAGCAATTCAAAACTGGTATTGGAGTGCAAGTAGATGACTCATAGATGTCTCTAACATGTACCAGTGCTTCCTCATGCTGCTCGTATCAAGAAAACAGGAAAGCTGACTGACAGAATTGTGCACTTTGTTTTTTAAGTTCACTATATGCTTTCAAGTTATCCAACCTGTCCTCCTCCACCACGCTTAAACAGAGGTAGCACCGTTCACGCCTAGATCTACATGCACACACATCCCTACATGTCCATAATATAAACATCCACACAAGCTCTTCTTATATAT